CCAGCTTTGCCTCCAGCATTTATAATAGTGTTAAATATATAAAAAAGTGTTTTTAATTGATAAAGAGGAGTGGCACTCAGAGGTTTGCTAGGTGAAAGGGGTCACCAATACGAAAGTTTGAGAACCACTGCCCTACACAGCCTTATATGCCTAAGGACGGCCCTGGGGGTGGTGCAGGGGGGAGGTAGATGCTTTCTGCCAATGCATGTTACCTTGGACATACCTGTCTGCCATCACCTGGCCCAACCTCCAGTGTGTCCAGGGCTAGCTGGGGTTCCTCCCACTCTGACTGACTGACTGCAGGGAGGAGACATTTCACCTACCTCCCTAGTTTGTCTCTCAGCTGTGTAATGACAGCAGCAGGGCTCAGAGGGAGAAGGGGCCAGGGGCAGGAAAGCCGCCTCTTGGGTGTGAAAATCTGAGGGCTCTTGCTTGGGAAGGGCTATCCAGGGGCGCTCTCTTGCAGGGACTCCAGAAGAGGGGGGCGAAGGGGAGTGCGCCTTCCTCTTGGAGCATAGAAAGGGCTGTCTGGGGACTCGCTCCATAGGGCATGCAGATCTGCACCTCTTGTTCCTGTGCTCTGATCTCCATAAGGCAGTGAGCCTTGTGCCGCTGATCCATCGCTCTGGGAGCTAAGAGGGATAATCAGATCTCATGTTGCAGGACATCAGCTGATTGTGCCAAGGGTCAGGAAGGAAGCTGCCCCATGTACAGAATTGTACAGCTTGTCAGATGCGGCAGGAGAGGTTTTCACCTTTCTCGGATGCATGAGTCTCTGAGCGCTCTAGGAGGCGGGGTAGCAGACCAGACGGAGCAGTGTCTGACGTGATGTGGTGGATCCTGTGCTGCCTGGCTTTAGGTGTCCGCACTGTCCATCTGTGTCCCGCAACAATGACATGGACCCTCTGTGCTGAGAGCAGACGTGCTTGATTTTCTGCAGTGCCTCCCGTCCACGGGAGTGGGCACCCAGCAGAGACTGTGCCGGCGAAGCACTGGTGCTGCTGTGCTGGGCCGCCTGGCCCCTGGCACAGCCTGAGACACTAAGCCCTGATGGGCTGTCAGCCGGGATTCTGCCATTGTGTCCTAGGAGTGTCACCGTCCGCCTGGATGGAAAGAGCCCGCCCTCTCGGACTGCGGGGGAGAGCCGGCAGGGGCGAGCTACCTTGGGCTCCGGGCCAGGGGAGAGCAGGAGGCCATGCTTCTCATCGAAGTTCCTGTTTCTTCTCTGCGTAGGAAGCCGGGGAGATATTTATAGCATTGTTATGCAAAAAGAAAAAAAGAAAGAAAACAGGAAATTGGCAAGTTCCAGATAACCCGCCATTGCCAGGCCGTAGCTGCTCCCTGGCTGCCAGGCCACGTGTCTGCTTCCCCCAGACCCCAAGGCTGACAGCAGGCCCTGGGGGCCACGGGCTCCTCTTAGTGCTCGAGGGAGGAGCCACAGCAGGGCCTGCCTGCAGCCAGGGGCTCCAGGAGCTTCGCGGGACCTTCCCAAACGGAGCAAACGGGCTGAGACTGAGCAGGGGCCCACACCTACTCCGAGCTGAAAGTAGCGGTTGAGAATGGAGGGAGGGAGCTCTTGTCTTAGCACCCTGCAGGTCCCGGGTTGGGAGCCGAGGGGGAGGGGAGGACGTGCACCCCTACGGGGGAGATTCATAGCTCAAGTGCAGCTTGCTGCTGGGGGAAGGATCTTGCACTCTGGCTTAGAGCCCTGCGCGGGACTATTGTTTTTAATCCCACTACCACCTGCTCCTGGGTTGTTTCTTGCATTTTTATCCCACTCCCACCTGCAAAAATCTTAGATCCCGCACGAGAGACAGATTCCCCCATTCCCCCCAAAGTTCATTAACATATTACAGGGGGGCCAAACTGTGGCTTGCGAGCCGCATGCGGCTCTTTTACAGTTAAAGTGCAGGGCCCCCTGTTCTCCCCCCCGCGTTCTCCACCTACCAGACTGGGGGGAGGCTCGGGACTTCTGCCCTGCAGCTGGGTGGTGGGGTTAGGGGCTTCTGCCAGAGACGACTGGTGCCTGCTGAGAGTGGGGGTACAATTTAAAGGTTTGGAGCCCCCAACAGCTTGAGTCACACACACCCCCAGGCTGCAGGGCGGGGCCACTGCTTTAGCTCCATGGGGAGAGGCAGCAGCAAAAGCAGTGGCTCTCCCTGCAGCTTCCAGCTGTTGCCGCTGTCTCTCCCCTTGGCCCCAGCTTGCTGGCCCCAGCAGCGGCTGTGCAAGGAGGAGGCCTGGTGACACCACGTGACCAAGTAGGACCAGCAAACCTTGGCAAAAATCTGGGGAGGCACATAACCCCACATGCCCCTCCGCTGTGTGTTGCCTCTGGCTTCTGCCCCGCGGCTTTAGGCCTGCAGGGAGCTGAAGGCCTGAGCCCTGGCTGGCATCTCCCATGGGACTGAAGCCCCAAGACCCCCTTCCCTGCGTGGCTGAAGCCCCGAGCCCCGGCAGGCGCCTCCCACAGGGCTGAAGTCCCAAGTCCCGGCAGGCGAGCCCCAGCTTTTTGTCGTATGCGGCTCGGGCGATCAGTAAGTTTGGCCGCCCCTGGCATATTGTCTATATATACAGAATTCAGACACAATTTTTACCACTAAAAGAATATAACAAATCTGGCTTTAAACCATGTTAAAAAAATACTTCAACTCCTGTTATAATAGACATCAAATCTCTTTCTATCCCTCACTTAAATTTAACTATTAAAACCTTTATTTAAAAAAAGAAAAACTTGCTTTACATTGCTGCAATTCTATGTATGACAAACTGCTGTCGTGTGTATATCCCACGGAACGTCAGAACAAATTGCACCACAGTTTTGCCTTAAAGGCGCAGATGTTTCTAAAGATTATAATCATTAAGTTGTTTAAAAAAGGTTGTAAACGGCTTAAGCATCGCTTTTAGAACTTTGAAACATACCTTTCCAGTTATTTATCTGTCAGGGTTCTTACTGCTTTTGGGGAAACGTTTAATTGAAAAGCTGCTCACAGCCTAGGGTTTTGATAGAAATACATTTTAAAAAGAGGCTCAAACTAAGTGATCAATAGTAAGGTCAAATGAAACAGCAGGCGTACGGGGGTGCAGTCTGTGGGTCTGGAGCCCAGGGAGTAGGTACAGGGAATGCTGGGCTGGGGGGAGGTGGTGGCTCTGAAGCTGATGGGGACAATTCAATTCTTAGGTTGTTCTGATGTCGGGCGCTTTCTGGCTGCCGTTGCCAGGGTGAGAGCACGGCGTAGCTTCTCCTTGCACACCCTCTCAGCTGGGGGGCAGAGGGCGCTGTCCATGCTAGCCACGCTGTAAGCTGTCTGGGGGCGCGGTGTCTGCATCCGTCTCCTTAAAGCATCCACTGCAGCTGGCGGGCTCAGGAAGTGTTTGTTAGCCCTGGTTTCACGATTGGGTCATTTCCTACGTACAGGGTCTAGCTCGGCTCCGGGCTGGCATCCCGTCCGTGTCTGGCTGCCCCCGGGAGCAGGGTGGGTGGTCTCGTGGTGGTGCTTGGCCTGAGTGTGTGTCATTCTGCAGGGGTTCTCGCATAGCAGGTGCCGCCCTGACTCCCGAGGGCTGCAGCCTACAGAGAGCCGAGCACCTCCCTTCCTGGGGCGTGGGGAGCTGACCGGCTCAGGGAGTGGGACATGGGCCTTGCGCTGTGGGGCGGAGAATGGGATCTGGAGCCTTCTCCTGGTGGGAACTGGTTCCAAGCCGGCCCCAGCTCGGTCACTTGAAGGTTCTTGAGCCCTGTGCTAACCCCTCCTGGAGCGCACGGCACTGCCTAGCGTTTGGGCTCAGCACAAACCCGCTGGGCCGCCAGATGAGGGGTTACCACAGCATGCAGTCCTCAGCACGGGGAGGCCAAGGAACCTCACCCCATCTCCTCCCCTCCCCACCTCCTCCCTGCTGCAGCACCCCGTGGTCCCAGCGGGCAGGCTTCTCTTGCCACCACCCCGAGGGGAGGAGATGGGTGCCTGGGACCCCCTGGGAGTCAGCTGAGGGGCGCCCGCCTGTACTCGGGGGCAAATGGGCCGAGCCGGACATCGTGGTAGGTGGCAGGCCCAGGGCTAGGCCAGGAAGCAGGGCTGTCCTGCTGGGCAGAGCCGAGCAGAGCCAGGCAGCCTGCCCGCTGGAGCCCTCGAAGCCTCATTCCAGCACGGGCGCCCCTCGGCCCCTGGGTGGTTCAGTCCCAAGCACAGCGGCCTCTGGCCCGCACGTCGGTATGGGCAGCCAGCCTGGCAGGCCCAATGCCCCAGCCCGTCTGTGTCACACCCCTTCCTTCCAGGGGAGGGGGTGTGTGACGAACTGGGACTGTTCTTACTGTGGTCTGTGAATGCTGACAGGGGAGTGTGGCTAGGATAGTCTGCATTGGGGGATGAGAGACTGACCTATGGAGAATACCTGAGCATGTAACATGAGAACCCAGGAGGGGGCTGGGGCCAGGTGACACCTTTGCCCGGGAAACTGAACAAAGGCTGTGGGAGGGGTCGCTGAAGGCAGAGTCTGGGAAGCTGGCTGGTGAGGTGGCTGGGAGGCAGGGAGGGCTCTGACCTCCGGAGGGGGGCTGGGGTGCCCGAGGACCCCAAGATGGACCTAACTGAGGGGTATCCTGTTGTCTGTGCCTGCAAGACCTGTCTTGGACTGTATTCCCGTCATCTAAATAAACCTTCTGCTTTACTGGCTGGCTGAGAGTCATGGTGAATCGCAGGACGCCGGGGGGTGCAGGGCCCTGAGTCCCCCCATACTCCGTGACAGGGTGTCCCCAGTTTCGATCCCTGCCCTGAGGTGAAAGTCACTTCAGCGGCACCAGCCCCCCTCCATCCCCTCTGCAAAGGGAGAGAGCCCAGCTGAGCCCTGGCACTGAGCGTGGGGCCTGGCCAGCGTGCGCTCTGCCCCTCTGCTCCGGCTGCAGAGGGGAGGGTTCGTGGCTTTCCCCATTGCTGGGGGATGCTCCAGGGTCCACGTCCCCCACCCCCCTAATGCAGTGGCTGTGTTTCCTTCCCTTCCAGAGAAGCTGTACAACTCCCAGGGGCCAGAGCTGAGGCGCTCCCTCTTCTCCCTCAAGCAGCTCTTTCAGGTACGTTCCCCCAACCCCTCTGTGGGGCACCGTCCCACCCCGCAGCCCAGTGACCTCAGGCCCTGTGGGCCTGTGCCCAGGGCCATGAGCTGTGCAGGGCTCCGCGGGGGCAGCTGGTCATGGGGGGCTTGTGGCGTTAAGTGATGCTGGGGGATCCCATCAGCCCAGCCCCCCAGCTGCTGCTTTGGGTGATAAATTCCCCCGTGTATCCTGCCTTTCCCCCATTCCCCGATTCCTGCTGCCCCCAGTTCGGCGCCGAGGAAGCTGCAGGGCTTAGCGCCTGGGGAGCGGGGGCTCTGGCCCAAAGCCAGGAGAGGTAGTATGGGGTTTGTTAACCCAGCCCCTGCCCCCTGGGGGGCTGCAGATTTGGGCTGGCGCCTTGAGCCTCACCTGTCAATCCCTGCAGCACCCCGCTGTGCCACGGCTTCTCACCCAGCAGTAACCAGTGGGGTACAGCACAGGCACCGCCGTCACTGCTATCTTCCCCCCTGCTCCTCACTCCTTTCCCTATGGGGTACAGCACAGGCCAGCCAGCATGGTCCTTCTCCCCTCTCCCCCACACACCCACAGGGTATCGCTAAGCCCCTTCGTTTTCAGTTTAAATAGATTTTTATTGAAAAATTCCCACGTTTTACAAAAAGTATTATTCATTTTTTTCTGATTTTTCACCCGACTTTTGTGTCATTCAAATATATAAAAAATAACTTGCTTTATTAGGAAAATACAAACATATCTTATGAAATGTAATTACGATAATACATTAGTCTGTGGGTCTATGCAAAGCCGTCTGTTGAAGTAAAGCTCTGTATTAGTCTAGAAGAGAGACACAATAAACAAACAAGCACACAGGCAAGCTCTGAAGTGCGTGCGCATCTGAATGTCCTGATGAATCTCACGCCCACCACAGACATATTTCAAGCTGTTAGCAGATAACGGTTTAAAGATTTGACCCACTAAAATGGGAAGAAAACAAAAATCTGTGTCAGAATATGTTTCAGAACACAAGGAAGCATTTGAAAATTAATAAATTTAAAAAAAACAGGAGAAAAGGATGAAGTTGAGTGTATGCGCTGCAAATGGTGTGGCCGAATTACTAAACGAGAACTATTAGCCTATAAATATTTAAATTCTACACCAGTAAACTCTTTATTCAGATGAAAAGTTTTATGTAGAGAGATTGTTTTCTTAAACTCAGAAGCGGCAGCATGTGTTCTGAGTCCTGTCCTAGTTCTGCAGCAAACCACACTGATGAATGGAATTCAGAGCATTAATTTACGGAATACTTTTTTCCCATCTTTCCATCCACCAAAATAACCCCCGATATTTACCCAGAAAAATGAATCGGTTTCTTTTGCACTGATTTCCCCCTGTTCTTCTTGTTGTGGTAATAATAAACACGGATCAATTCCTGAGAAAAATTAAATAAAATCAAAACTGAAAATGAAGGGGCCTAGGTACGGCACAGGCACAGCCGGCACTGGTCCCTTCACCCCCCCAGCCGGCTTCCCCCCCCAACCCCCCTGGGTACAGCACAGGCACCGCCGGCACTGGCCCCTTGTTGGACCACACCTCCCCTAGCTGTGAGGTATGGGCAGCCCTTGGGCTCTCCTGACCCCCAACACCCTTCTCTATCAGTCTTGCCCTGTCTGCCCCATCCCTGCCTTAGTGGGGGTACGACTAGGGCCTGTTTGGGCCTCCTGTCCCCCTGAAGACGTGACTGGGGGGTCTGGACCCCTGCGGGTGGATCAGTATGATCTCTGGTTTGTGCTGCAGGAGGATAAAGACCTGGTGCCAGAGTTCGTGAACTTGGAGGGGCTGATATGCTTGATCAAAGTGGGAGCTGAGGCCGACCAGAACTACCAGAACTACATCCTGCGAGGTTGGTGACAGGACTGGCCCTCTGGCCTGCCCTGCGGCAGGGCCCAGAGCCACTTCTCTGCCTATCTGGAGCCCCCTGGTTGTTGGGGGGGGGAGATTTTGGGCCTAGAGCCCCCAATGGCGCAGACACACACACATTGGGTGTGGGAGTCCCAGCTGGAGAGGGAGGACTGCTTGGGAGAGGTGGCAGGCATCGTAGGCTCTGCCCCTCTCTGAGCAGCGCCTCTGCGCCGGGCCCCCTGCCTGCGGGTGAGCTCTGAGCAGGGGCTGTGCGGGACGGCCCCCGGCACCGCGGGGCACGGCAGGTGCTGAGCTCTGCTGAGTCTTGGCTCTGACTGCTTGTGACCGGGGTCCTAGTGGGGGCCAGTTGTGGTCACTCAATTAGGGTGAACTGCAAAGAATGGAGCAGCCAAACCCCAAAACGCTGGTGGAGATTCCAATACTTGGATTCACCAAGCCAGCATAAAACAGCTTCTTTATTACCTCCCTGGTTACTCAGAAATCCAAACAACACAGTTCCCTTCAAGTGATCCAGCCTCAGGCCTCCATCCAGGTACCCACATCAAAAATGATGAAAATGTCTGTAAATCTTATTTCATCCTATAAAAGAAAAGGTTCTACCAATCCCAAAGGATCGGACCCATTACCTCCCAGGTTAATGCATGTTTCAGATCTTACCCAAATACACGCTACAGCCAATTCTTATTAACTAAACTAACATTTATTAAAAAACAAAAGAGAGAGAATATGGTTTAAAAGATCAGTATACATACAGATTTGAGTTCAATTCATTGAGGTGCAGATTCATAGCAGAGATGGTGAGCTTTGTAGTTGCAAAGAGTTCCTTTAGAATTCAGTTCATAGGTCATAGTCCAATGTCCAAATCTCATATTCAGGGCGTACCAGCATAACTGGGACCGCAGTCTTGCGTAGGATGACCAGACGTCCCGATATTTAGGTATTTGTCCCGCGTCCCGATTGATGTTCGGTCGGGACGCTGCACTCCGCTTTTTTTTCCTCCGCCGGCAGCACTCGGCTGTTCTCCGTTGGTTCCCCCCCCCCCCCC